TTTTCCGAATGATTCTTTTCGTTTTCCTTCTCCTATGAGTATTTGGTAAATAAGCAATTTTAACAATTTTTATTTATTTATTTAAAACTTTATTGTCCTTACTATAAAGGTTACAAAGGGTGCATTCTCTGCCAGTCAACCCATGGCGTGGTGAAAAATTTGAGGCAGGTGACTTAAATAACTAAATATAATAAATTTATATAGACATAACACATATTAAAATAAGGCTTGTAAATATGTTTAATACATGTAGAAACAAATACATAATAATCCATATATATAACAATTATCCTTAATACATATATACATATACATACACATACATAATATGTCTGGATAAAGGTCCTCTTTTATTTGGTGCTTTCCTAATGTCTTCAGGTAAGAAGTTCCAGAGTTGTGTAGCCTGAACATTAAAAGAATTGCCGATAAAGCCAGTAGAATTCTAGTGTTGCGAGCGGGAATCGAACTTAGGTTGCTCAAGTGTCATAAAAATATAGGCGAGAGATCATTTAAACTTATCAAATGAACCAGAAACATAATATGATCTCAAAGCGTTTAATTTAAATTACTTTTATGAAGAGGCTGCATGACCAGCAAAATACTTGCAATTTTGGAAATTAAAACTGATTTAAATTAAACGCAATTTAAAATCTATTATTGTAATATTATGTGTATTTTTCAAAATTTAAGCAATCATTATAAAAATATATCCTTTGTACAAGAAGTGTACAGAAATGTAAAGAAGGACTACTTACCACAATCTGCTTCGTACTAGACATGTCTCAGCAATGAATAAAGACGGTGCCTTTTTTTAACTCTTATTTATAATATTTTACAGCATCTGCATTCATCGTGACACGCTAGCCATTGTTTGGGCTGTGATGAAAAGTTTAGGGAAGGACGAGTTTCTTATCGACAGTTTAAAGAAATTAAAGGTAACGAGAGTGAGAGAGAAAAAGAGATACAGAGAAAAAGAGAGAGAGAAATAGAACTCATAGAAAACCTCAAAAAGTGACCTTTTCTATTAAAAACGGTAACGATTGTGTAAAATTATACACCTATTACCACAAATTTAGGTTTAAAGATCTTAATTACTCATTAAGACAAATAGATCACGTCACTTATATGAGCACATAGCTTGAGATAAATTCAACAGTCGTTCGCCAAATTCATTTTACCAAAACCACACAAACTTTGAGTAAATTTAGTTAATAAAATCTCATACATGATAAGAAGAATTGAAATTAAAGTGGGAACCATGCTGCACCAAGATACAGGATATGGCACGTTAATGGATGATTACGTCGGGAAATGGACCGTGTTCTCAGAGAATATCAGCGTGATATACATTGCACATCACATTGAACTTATGGGTCCCTGTTCATGTGGGATTTATAACCTATCAAAAGAATGTGCCAACCGTTTTACTTGTCTAGAATTTTGTAAAAGGCGAATAATGGGATATTGGGTTGTTAGAAGTGTATGCGAAGAGCTAGCCATCTTTCCCTCATTCACAATTTTTCATTTATACCCATATTTTTGTTAAATATGGTCATAATAACTTACTGCTCATTAGAGTCTACCTACCCGCTCGGAGAATACAGGCGTGTATGTAATAATAACATAAATTTTGTGTGTTTCGTATGATGATGACTAAAATTGGAGACCCTTGTCACGGGTATTTTAGTACTCAGGGGTAACAAAGCATCCGCATTTTGATTCTAGATTGAGGATAGATGTAGGTAGGTGGAGCTACAGCCACCACTTACCATCAGATGGAAGCTGTTTGCTTATTTGTTAAATCAGATTATACATAAGAGCAAGACGGAATATGCAATTTTTCACCAAATACCACTTTACTGCACAGTGAATCCTGCCGATTGACGACGAGTTTGCCCATCTAACGAGATGAATATCATATCTTCCTAACAATACAGACACGTAGTAGATTCAGGAAAACACCAGTAGACTTAAGACGACCTCAAAATCGTCCGTACCGGAAAATTCTTTTGGTAAACTTTTACAACAACCATATGGGATAAAATATATGCACTCTTGAAAAGGTTTATGACAGAATTACAGTTAATTGAAAGATTTACGTTTGTTGAGGACCGGTATAAAACAAGGCCATTTATATTTTAATATTTAATAGTAAATATTATCAGTTACACAACTATGTTGCATAAACACAAGTAAGGCTTTATTATACACTGAAGACAATTTTAAAGATGATTTCCGCTTCCTTTTACTAATATTCTGACCAACATTATATTAATAAAGGAACGTTAATAATATGTTTTGATTGATTTGGTTCGATCAAATAAAACCAATCATTTACACGGTAACTAATATTTATATTATTAATTTTAAAAAAAACTTGCTTTGCACGTTTTCTCTGAGTTCTTTATTCCCCACATTTTGATTGCATTATTTAAAAAGTTAAGCCTCTGATAACCAACCCCGTCTTGTGACTAAGTCACCCGTAGTGAAGTTGTAGTGCCCTATAACCTCCCCGTCACCCCCGACAATATATACTATGATATTAGTATTAAGTGTAGAATAAGAGAGCAGCATAACTGTAATTAAAGTTCTAGTACGAACAACACGTCTCTATTCATTCAAATTCAAATGGCTTTTCCGTACTATATTTTTGATGAAGAATATGCGAAGGATTTGTCGAAGAGCCGAAAATGCGTTCAAAAGCGTTTCTGTGGTCCTAATGATATGCGTTAAAAAACGGTGCAACACCAGTCAGTGCAAATTGTCATTTAATGATTTGTTATATTTACGCGAATACTACATATCAAATGAAACTAATTTTAAGGATTTTGTCGCAGTTTAATTTTAACTTTTTAATTCCCGACGTTTTATTTATCATTTTCTTATCATAAAATTGAGACATCAATCGAAGGAATATTATAATTTAAATAAATTTCACGTAGTTAAAAAAACTTTGCGAATTTTTACTATTAACTAGCTATCACCCTTCACTTCGCTTTCGCTTCCGAAATTCTTTTCAACTTTATTTTATTTTAAATTATACAAAGCCAGGCAAAAGTTAAATAAATTTAGTATGTCACGATGTTTTTAATAATTTTTGCTTTATTTACCAAATTCATAGGTAAATCAGAGTTCCAATTTTCAATAACCCACTAAAGACTGCTAGCCAGCAAGACTGGAACCGCTTGGAATTACTTGCCTTTATCTATTTGACGTGCTCCGTCACTTTTTCCTTCAAAAATCTACTAAAGGCTTTTAACTTGAAGCTCTAATGTTTTCCATTAAACTTCCCCATTTTTATTGTATCTCTATCATACCTATCCTCAACTATCATCATCTTGTGTTTTTATTTTAATTTTCTTTTTTCTTTTACTTAATTGTCTTATTTATATAAACTATCCCAATTCGCCATTCGTTGTAAACAATAGTTCTTTGAGCAAAAAGGTTGTCTGGAAGAAATCATTTCCAGAGCGATTTGTGTACCTTCTTTAAAATGTATTTCATTTTTGTGTATCAGTGTACAATGACGAATATATTGGTTGAATGATTAATTAAAGTAATTGTGTCATATGTTTTTTTTTCAAGTGAGCATTCAAATGAGCAAGTTTTGACATACGACCCAACCATATGCCAATACGTGGTCGGATAATGTTGTTAAATAAAATTTAATCTTTTCTTTTACTTATATCGATATTGTTCATTCACGATGTCGCATCCCTAGTTAAATGCTCAATTTTCCGGCTGACACACGCGCGTGCGCTGCGACATAATGTTACGCGCTTCTCCATTTGTCTTTAATTATTTTCCCGTTTGTTCTTTATGTTATATTCACGCCACTTTGATGCTTTATGGAGTAGGCAGCAATGTGTAGGTGATTTTTTTATAATATCGAAATGACAAATGAACTTAAAGTTTATTTAATGGTAAGTGGCTACTGCATTCCATGGACACCTGCAGCTAACTTTATACAAAGGCTACAGATGCATTGTGCCCTCCGCGGACTATGATACAACAATAATTTTTTGACAGAAAAACTCAACAACAAATTTTGACCCGATTTGGAATTTGAACCCGGGACCTCACGATCGGCAGTAGACCAATGAGGCAGTCGATGGAATATGATTACACTGGCTCTTTGAAACCGGAGCACAGCAATGCACGCACTGCTCTTTGTCGGCAAAAATAAATAAAGTGGTGCATACGGAGATGGACTTCCATCTCCTACGCTACGTTGGAGAAGGAATAGTGTCCGAGGTGCATGAGGTTTGCTCTGCTCAGCCTGGTAACTGTAACAAATCCTTCCAAGTGTGGAAGATCTCTATGCCTAGCTGATGCCATTTAAGTATTTTTTTATTTAATGGTGGTGATAAAAAGAATATAATAACTTCTCGCTCATCGGTTCAATTAAGTGGCAAAATGTAATTTAATTTAACAATTATCGGCGTGTACAGAAAATCAGCTTCATAGCTCTCTAAACTGTGGTTATAGTTACCGCTATGTGGTTTCTACAACTGTGTCTATAATTAGTGCTGAGTAGACGCCATTTTAGTTCCTAAATTAGTTAGTGTTGTGAAATATGAAACTAAATGCTTAAATATTTTTTGTTTAAAATTAGGTATATTATAATTGAATTATATTTTTTGTAATGTAAGAGTGTTTTTCAGCGTCTTCAAGCGTGGGGATGGAGCAAATCTGTCATTACTGTGAAAGTCTCATGTTAAAGGAAATTATAATGAAGAGATAATTTAAAACAAAGTAACCATAAACCAGACTTTATTAATGCTGCTTGTTTTTGTCATTTTTAGCTATTCATATATCCTCGGTTTTTGATGTAAGTCATGTATTCGAGAAAGTTAACTTAATATTAGCTTAGTATACAATTTCATTTGGTCGCATCGTTATCCGCTACTTCGTCAGTCCTAGATTCAAATCCGATCCGATTTCTTTTATACATAGAATTAAAAATTTCTAACATTGTTCTCCATATTCCGAACTCTCATCTAAACTACGTCTTCGTAATCTAGTAGGCTTTTTGGGACGTGTCTTTGTTTCATCAGCTGTACGTTAGCCTCACTCTGTTCGCTCTGCACCATCTCCAATCTTCTACTGTCCACCACACATGCGGAATAATACAATATGACTGAAAAATAAATATATTAAAGTTTGAGAAACACATTCAAATTTTTGATTGATCTTAGTAAACCTACACGTGGTAGAGCAACACTACAGCCTATTATGGTTGGAACACGGTTCACTCTACTGAAAATGGATCACGCTTGTTCAGAGTCCCGGCGTGATTTAACAGCAAAATTGTATACGATACGTGGTAGAGCCACGCTGTAGCTATATTATGGTTGTAGCACGAATGGGTCAGCTCGACCTCGGAAGAACCACGTTCTTACAGAATACCGGCGTAAAATAGCATCTTTATGCTGCTGTTTCGTATGGTGAATATAGAGAACCGGAAACACTTTCTACTGGAAACGAGGCATTCGGTCTGAGTCCACAAAAATGACAACATAACCTACTTATATTTTAGAAAAAGTAAATTAAAAAAATAAACTAAATTACACGCGGGCGAATTCGCGGGGAACAGCTAGTAGCGCTTAAAATCTTAATAAGTTAGAGCGGCACCAACGCATAGCGCTCAAGACTAATATTGTAATAATATTTATAGCACTGTGGGTGCTGGCCCGAATCCAATTTGTTCCGGTGATTTCTTCAAAATTTGTGAGGAGGAATTTTATATCCACAATTACAAAAATTAAAAAAGCGGGCCCCTCCGGGATTTGAACCCGGGACCTCCTGCACCCAAAGCAGGAATCATACCCCTAGACCAAGAGGCCGCTGCGTGTAGATGTTTAAATTATTAATTAGTTATAGTAACACTACGTATACAATTGAATTTCGAACTATACAAATTTAGGTTAACATATTTTAATTTTACTATCCAAGTTAAAAAAACGCGAATGTTTTTTATTAACGCGTATTTTATTGTTTATGTACAATGATTTCTCGAAAACTGCTGAACCGATTTAAGTGATTCTTTTTTATTAAGTTTTTATGTTATACTTCAAATGTAGTACCTCATAATTATAAGGAAAAAATTCCATCCCTAAGGGTGGAATAATAGGGGTTGAATATTTTTTAAACTATATTCTTGTTGTTATTATGAACTTGTGACTTTCCTTAGACCACTAAAATGAATAAAATAGTTTAAATTTTAATACAAAATAAAAACTCACTTCAAAACCTGGGAAATATAAAATAATTGCCACATAATAGCTTTTAAAGGGGGGACTTTACTTATAATTCTTTGATACATTACGTCTAAGGGAGCGATTATTTTTTTGTTATTAAAGTCAGTGTTTGCTTTTTTTTTGTATGTTGAAATAGTTTATTTAGAACTTTTATATTCTATTTGCTCATTGTTTATAAAATCCAACATTCAACTAGACGAACAAAGCAAATTAACTGTTCCTATACAAATATTAACTGGAAATAATTTTGAAAATATTACTAAAAGGAATGTTTGCGAAAAACTCACACTCAGTTAAATATTTTATTAACCTGTGTCAGTGATTAAGTAATATAGAAATACAATATTCTTTTTTTACGCATTGACTTATATATAATTTTTATATAATATGGGTGAAAAAGCAAAGTCTATCTGATTGTAAGTGGATGCTGTAGGTGTAGCCCATAGACTTCAACATTTGTCCGTCAACACTGAGGACTAACATGGAATGACTCGCTTGCATTAAAAAGGGTGAGTGTAGAGACACTCACCATGCGACACACAGCAGCATTAAACTACATAATAATTTTTCTTGCAAATCGTACTTTTCAAGCGACAGTTGACAGTTCGAGGTCATTGACGTTTCTATTCAAATCTGTGTTCATAACTTCATTGCATTGTATAGATTAAGCACAAGTGTTAATAATTTTATGTCCATAAGAACAATATAGTGGCGGTGTAAAAATATTCACTATCTCATAGCGTCCCGTGGGTGCCGTAAGAGGCGACAGAGGGAAACAAGCCACAGGAAATGGACAGCAGTGTCTTCAATAAAACAAATAAAACAATAAAAATCAGTGCCAGCTAACCCACCTGCCATGCCTGGCAACTATTGGCAATCCACCCTATGAGGCAACCTATGAGTGAGGCATATGATCAACGGTGGAGGCAGTAACAGTAAAAGTATATCCAATGTGCCTTTAGATACAACACTGTGTTAAATTTATACATAACACTCGCATTTCACAAAGCTATATGTAAATTTTGTTGAGAGATTGTAGTAGTAATTTTGTAAATATGTAATCATAATTTATGAAATCACACATAAAATAATAGACTATTTGTGTTTTAGCTCTAATGATATTTTTACCTGCATATATGAAGTACACGGAGATCATTATACTGATTTCCGAGGCGGTACCCTGATCTATGGTGAGTGTTACGACCGCCGCGCCCAGGATTGCCATTGCTACAAGAATTACACTCAAGACCCACGCCATCACCTCCCAGGGCCAAAGCAATTTTGGCTTTCTCTGGAACCAAATATTTTAGTGTATGAAATATTGGAAATCTATATCACGTACCTAATAGCAGGGATATTAACCCAATGGGGAGGTGCACACTTTCAGTTAAAAAGGAGAGCGTAATTGGTATTAAGTAAAATTTTGTACATAAATTGTAGAAGGATAGAATATCTAGATCTAGAGCCATTTCTATTTCTTAGCTATACTATTTGTTTAGATTTTGTTCTTTCGCAAATCCGCAGCCTGCAACGTCGCTGATAAAAGTTAAGCCATAATCCTATAAAACCTTCAAATGTTATTAACTAGGTCAGGGGTAGCGAACCTTTATGTATCAACGTGCCATTCTTCTAAAGGAAAGTTTAATGAGGCCATAGAAGTGCACGCGTGCCATTGGTTCGCCATCTCTGAATTATATGCCTTAGTACTTTTTACGCAGGGCGGCACAACTTTTTAATGAGGTGAAATATTTTACAGATCACATAGCAGGGAAGTTACAATTGTTAAAAGAAGGTAAAACTTAATGTTTCTTTCTGAAATATGTGTTATAATTTGTATTAATTACATGAGAAGTAGATAAACTAAACTATGAATGATAATAAAAGAAGAAGAATTGAAAACCAAGTTAATAAGGTGTAAAAACTTAAAGTACTCACCATTAAGGCATTGTTTCGTGTACCGGAACCGAAACCCTTTTTTAAAACGCAACATTTTAATGATGATGACACTGTAAGAAGTTCATCTTAGTCCCAACTAGCGACATCTGGTGGGCGTTAGGTTATTAGCACTCATTGGCATATAAGATTTAACTCGACATTGCAACAAGGCGCAGATACGAAAAATTGCAGTTTCCGATTGGCAGGCGTTATTAGAATTTACTAATCATTTTCTTGATCTGTTTTGAAGGATTTTATTTTTTCCACCCTAAGAAATCCACCCCAGGGTGGATACTTGGAAATACATATTCGTTTATCAACTCTAGACGGGGTGGATAGTCGGAATTCACTTTTTGATTGTTATTCCACCTTTCCACCCCAAGTACAGTTCAACAAATAATATATTATTATATATTACATACTTTAATATATTATTGATTAATTTTTAATAACCACAAAACTAAGCAAAAAAATCATATTACGTATTGCATTTAAACCAAATTAAGCTTCCTCGGTTTAAATATGTACAGGAAATGACTAACACTAATTTCATTATTGAGTAGACGTAATTGTATATCCTGTATAAATTCGTCTCTTTTAATGTACATTTGCAACTAATGTAATTTTGTTACAACAGGTGTGTTAGCATAAAGGGTGCTATTTGCAAGCAATCCAAAAATTTTACTTGGATGTTTATCTTTAACTTTATTTGATATTGCTTTATGCTAAGATTCCAAAGAATTTGTAGTTCTGTGAGACACTCCGAATGAATTCCAAACAGCCTCATAATTTTCGTCCTTGAACAATGTTTTTTTATAGCAATTCTCAAACGCCATATTATCATCATTATTCAATTTCGTAAATTATGTCACATCGGATAATATGTATGTAATTGAACAATAAAAAGTATTTCAGTTTTGACCTTAAAACAAGAAGTATGTATGTATTTTTATAAGTATGCTAATGTCTACAAAGTACTCTTAGGCCAGTTTCTGTCATGTTTTTATAAACGACTGTACACAGCAGAGGGAGAAAATCGGAAGAATAATAATATACGAATTCCGATTATCCGAGCCGTTTAGGGCGGATAAATGAACACGCGCTTCCGAATATCCACCCTAGAGTGGATTTCTTAGGGTGGATAAACGGAATAACCCTTCTGAAGTTGCAGTCTCGCAGTCCTCAATAAAATAAACTTTAAATACAATTGTCTAGTGTATTCACTTAAAAATTTTGTAAATAAGACCTATAACGGCTTGCTATCTGTAACTGTGTAGTCGCATACGAACTAATACTTTATAAGTTGGCGGTGTTCCATCTCCGTGCCTCGAAAACTACGTAAAGCCGTTGGTCCTTTTCTGATCTCTCTCCGGTCGTGTGAGATCACCGTCGAATCGGATTGTGAGAGTGAGAGAATAGAAAGTGCACCAGCCTGTGCTTGAGCACACACTTGTGCTCTATAACATGCTCAGCGCAGACAGGTTTTTCAATATTGGGAAATCCTCAGGATACCTTTCGCTGCGAGGCAATGCGAATTATGTTATACGTAGATGGTAACCCCAGGGGCCACCGACCCCCCCCCCCCCCCCAACCCTCTCGCGTTGCCTTATTTGAAACACGTATTGCGGGCAGTACTTGTGTCTCCAGTATCCTAGCAGTGCTATCCCGATATCTCGAGACCACTTTCCAGTCATCCTCATCCTCGGGCATTACATTACTAGGCGTTCGGGACCCCATCCATCACCAACGGGACGGCTGTGATAATCCACTTGGCGATCTGTCCTCCCCCAATCCCGCTAAGCAGCCAGAAGGCTCTGAACCGTAACTACTTCACAGAAGGCACTTCAGCCCTCCACGCCGAATGCTCAGCTGCTGGCAAAGTGAGGTTCCATCCGATCCAGCTCACTAGGATCGCCTCATTGTTCCACCGCTGAACATACCACAAGCGTCCACCGCAGATGACTAGTCTCCACTGAAAATGGCTGGCGTGATCGAAGTTCTGTCATTGTTATAAGTCTGCGCGCGCTGGCCGTCCACTTGGACCTACCCTGTAGAATATCAAGAGCCGGGCTACTCTGCATGTGGATCCTATCTTTGAAATATGTATTTGACTAACCACAATATCACCTGACCGACAGAGCTATGGTAGCTCAGAGGCTATGCGCTTGCCGTAAATTTCACAGTATTCGAGGAACCCGCGTTCGATCCCTGCCGGCACTAATAATATCACCAATAGTCCATAATCCTCTCCGTAATATTCATTTGGTCCGATCTACGTAGAAGGCATACGAATTTGTACATATGACTGCCTCTAGTCTATAAAATAAATAAGACTTAATCAATTTAAAAAAATATTTTACCCTAAACGCTCCGTATGTCATGACACAGGTTAGCACCAATTGGCTGACTGCAGCGACGGAAACCAGGGCGTAGAACATCTGTCTAGATGGTGGCAGGTAAGACAGTGTCACAGTGGCTGTGCCGTATACCAACGCAATCAATGTTGACAGCACCTGTAATTGGAAATGTTACGAGTATATACAGTTTATGGAGAGACAGATAATTATGGAGAAGACGGAGCATGGAAGCGCCACACGGCTTTTTGTTAGGCTAAACTGCCTAACAAAATTAACTAAAATTATTTTTCGATATTTTTAGATTTTTTTCCATTTTTCCATCGTCAGATAAATATTCCTAGACTTGCAAGGTTTGCAGCCTTTCTAACAACAACTTTCTAACGACACAAAACTTGAATTTTTGCCCCTATTTACAATGGTGGGCAGACAGGCTATTTGGTAGTAAGAAAAAACAATAACGATGAATTATATCATTTTCAAATTGTGCACACCAGTACAATGAACCGAAATCAGAATGTATAAAAAGTAGAATTACTTTCTTCTTATTTCTGTTTCTTATTTTTTTCTTTTAAAAATATTTATCTCCACACCAGTAAGTTCTACAGTATCAAACAGGCGTTTTACTTAAAAAACTGGACATGGAAAAACATCCAGGAACAAACAACCTGGAACAGTTGTTTGTTAAGCCATACAAGTAGTTGATTCCTCTCTTATGGAAACCCGCGGCCCACACTACTGCAACCAAATCCTTAAGTTTATTTATGAAGAAAGGACTCGGAGACTCAGCTCCTCCCTATTTAAAAGCACTCTGTTTAACATTAGGTTAATGTATTTCGTTTTATTACCTACCGTTTAAAAGCAAATTGTAGACAGTAAACCAGCGTACTACGTTAGATATAGCATTATTTACTTCGTTGTACTTTATAATGTTTTTTATATAGAATAAGGGTGACAAACGAGCGCACGGTCCACCTGATGGTAAGATGGTAAGTGGATGCTGTAGCCCATAGACATCTATCCTAGATTATGAATCAAAATACTAATGCGTTACCACTCCTGAGGACTAAGATGGAATACCTCGTTTCCAGTAAAAAGGGGCAAGGGGTTCTCTACGCTCACCATACAAAATACGGCAACATTGAGATGTTATTTCCCGCTGGTATTCTTTGAGAGCGTGGTCTTTCCCCGGTTGAAACGACTCATTCGTGCTACAATAATAATATAGCTGCAGCTTGGCTCTACACGTATAAAGTTTTAGTCGTCGCCGTTCAAGTCTGAAAATCAACGAAGTATCATTAGCACATAAAACTATATCATGGTTATCCCCTATAAAGTTGAGTAAGTCATTAATATAAACTAAGAACAGGAAGGGGCCAAAAATTGAGCCCTGAGGAACAACCATATACTACGGACCCGGTAGAACTACTCCCATTGATAACACCTGTTTGAGTTCTATTATTTAATCAGGGTGTAAAAAGTTTAATACCGATATGATTTTTCAAAACTTTTATTGAGCGCTATCAGTACAGAAATAGGTCTAAGAATAGAATAGAATAATTTTTATTCAATATACATTACATGTGTAATTCTTATTGAAAGTCATTTTTTACTTTACCACTGGTTCGAAAAAAAACCCTCTGTCCTGGGAAGAACCAGCAAGAAACCCAACGGGCCTTTTTTTTAAATGAATTTTACAATATAAATTATTACGAACTATTTACAAAATTTATTTTAGAAACCGTTTGGAAGCGACCACCTCATTCCCAATTATCAACCATGTATTCATTTATACTATAATAACCCTTTTATACAGTTTCAGCTTAATAAAACATTTGAACTTGGTAATAGAAAGAACCTGTACACTTTCTGGGACCTTGTTGTAATAGCGTATACATTGCCCAAAGAATGAATTACTGACTCTGTGGAGTCGAGATACTGGCATCACTAGCTTGTGTGATAGTGATGCCAGTATCTCGATAAAATGAGTGGAGTCCAATATACTACCAGTTTTAAATAAAAGTATGACATCATTAGGTATCATTCAATCAGGAAACATACAAGATTCGATACTACATAGTATTAAAAATAACAGCAACTTGGGGTGCGATTGAACCTATTATAGACGCAAAAACTGTAACTGAAATTCACCATAGATTTGAGGTTTTCTTAACATTAATAGTTTTGAAATATTTTACAATATTTACCGTTAACATGTTTTAATAATATAAATATGACAAATGAGACTACTCCATGGACAACTGCAACCAACTACCGCTACCCTTGCAACCAACTGCGACAAACAGTTGGTTGCAAGGTAGGCCAAGTTAATTTGCTTGTGACTCAGATCCATTTTCACTCGTGAAGACTGAGATTAGCATCTAATTATAATCGCTCTTTGACGTCTTACAAGTGATAATGCATAATTTCCTGCAATGAATCTCAAAATGAAGTAGGAAGGAAGGTACTACGCAATACGTAGTTGTTTCAGTGGCGGTTGACGAACTTTGTCCGCCGCTATTTTTTCTCTAGAGACTTGTTGAGCTTTAGCTAACCAACCGGTATTACATGTTCACGATCAGAATTTGAAATATTTTTTGACATTACTTAAGACTATTAAATATTTGTCTATGAATAAATTAATTGAATGAATGCATTACCTACCAAATTTAATACTGCAACGATTTTGGTTCCAACCTCAAGGTTTGCACAGAAACAGCAAACCTCTACTGACAGGCACATCTCGCTATTGCACGCAATTAAATAATACGAAATTCCAAAGCTTTGTTATTGATAAAATAGATGAATCTATCTACTTTGCTTTGTGTTTGTTTATTGTAACTGATATTGAGAGCGAAACTGTAATAAAGTGTCCCCAGAGCCACTAACAAATAATTACTGTGGTATTTCATTACATATGTACTGATAATTTTATAGATTCGATCGAAATATGATAAATGATAAGACGTTATATTGTATCTATTGTAATAGATGATCGTACATCGATGGAATGTGGGGTAATTCACCGTTAAATGTTTTTCGACAAAGATTTGTAAAACTTATCAATTGTTGATAATGAATGCTCGGATCTTGATAAAACATTGTATATTAATTTTATAGATAACTCAGTTTTAAAACCAATAACTGTGGAAGATATAAAAAAAGAAACATCCCGTGATAATCTTTTAATAAAAGTGTTAGAGTTTATGCGTAACGGATGGCCTCGGAAAGTGTCAGATCCCTTATTAAAGCCATATTTTAATTGTCGGTCAGAGTTAGCCCTAGAAAATGGTTGTATCCTGCGGGGCCACAAAGTAATCATACCGTCAATATTCCGCGAGCAGCTATTAAACGAACTACATTCTTCACACTTTGGCGTGGTAAAAACCAAAGAGCAGGCCAGAGCCCGGATGTGGTGGCCACATATAGATAGGCATGTTGAGGAAAAAATAGGGTCGTGTTCAGTGTGTAATAAGTTTCGATGCGCACCTCCGCGCACACCTCTTGCTTCCTGGCCCTACCCGGCACAGGTATGGGATCGTTTGCATATAGACATTTTTTCGTTATATGGTAGAAACTTTTTAATTGCAGTCGACGCATATTCTAAGTGGGTAGAATGCTACCAACTTACTAGTACCAATAGTGAGGCTATTATTACTAAGCTATGTGAGATATTTAGTCGGTTTGGATTAGTAAAAACCATTGTATCGGATAATGCCACAAATTTTTGTTCTGATGAAATAAATAATTTTTTTGTTTCTAATGGAATACAACATTTGACTATCGCGCCTTATCACCCCCAATCAAATGGGCAAGCAGAAAATAGCGTTAAAACTGTAAAAAGAGGAATCAAATTAATTATAGAGGAAAATGGATTAAATAATCAAATTATTTCAAAAAAAATTAATAAATTTTTATTTGATTATAGGAACAGTCGGCATTGCACTACCGGTTTTTCTCCAGCTCAATTAATGTTAGGGCGCTCCTTGCGGTGTCGGCTCGACCTGTTATCAGTCACTACTGAATCGTTACTGCTGTCATCGACATCCGCCGTAAAAAAAAATGTTTTGTCTCAACAGATCTCTCAATGTAAGCAGTATGGGGGCCGTCGTACAACTTCTTTTGCTATTGACGATAAAGTATTAGTTAAGTGTTTTTATAATAATGGTTCCAAGCATGTGTGGAAACTTGGAAGAATAGTTAAGAAAGTTGGCTCTAGAATGTATGTGGTAAAAATTGAAAAATCATGTAAAAGTTTAAAAAAACATATTGATCATCTAATAGCTTATAAAGGAAATTGTACATTACAAGATGACGTAAATACGGATATTTCTTATACCGATAATGACGTCATAGATTATTATACACCTTCTGGAACTGCTCGGGATACAGCGAAAGAACAAAATGTTCAAAATACCTTACAATGTACTCATTCTATGAACGATTCCTCAAGTAGCGGTCTATTGCCCCCGGAATTAGAACTAGGGGAGGAGAGGATCGTTAGCGTTGGGCCGAGTGATACGGTTAGTGCGGTTGGTAATGTCTTGACAGACTCAGCTCTTCCAGAATCTGTTTCTGTACAGGCCACGTCCAACCAGGCTGTCACAGAGCATTCAAGGGGTGTCCGTTCTACTAGAAATAAGAATCCTATTTATAAAGTTTAGTTTACATTTTATTATATAATTCTGTACTATTGGTGGAGGGAACTGTGATGTATTTAAAGAGTGATAATATAATAATATAAGCGGGTAGGGAAAGAATTGTCAGTCTGCTTTGAGCGATTAAACTGCCTGCTACGTAATTCGTATTTTATTGTATATTTATTCCTAAACAGTACAACTATATAGTAGAATAGGGTTAGGTATGCTATTTGTGGTAGAACCACGCTTCACTTTATTAAGAATAGAGCACGAATAGGTCGGCTCGACTGGGAAAAGCCACGTTCTTACGAAATACTATCGTGAAATAACAGCATTCTTGTGTTTCAGATTGTGAACGTCAATATACGGAGACCCTTTTTACTAGAAATAGGTCATCTCACAAAGTGATATTCAAACGCCGCTCTTATATCCACTATCCGTGAAACTAAAATAAATATAGACAGTGGCATATTCCTGACAACAACCTAAAAAAACCGCCCAAGTGCTAGTCGGACTCGCGCTCCGAGGATTGCGCACAAGTCCGTAGTTTAAAATTATTAAAAATATTTTTATTATATGATGTAACTAAAAATTTATGCTTTTCCTAATTTTTCCTTTATCTGTGCTACAATACGTTGCTTCGTACCAAATTTTAAGATTCTGAGTTCACGGGAAGTACCCTGTAGGTTTTGATTCCCTGATTCCCTTGCGAATGTCAAAAGTTTGCGGCATAAACGGCTGTATCTTTTGATTGCGTTGGCTTAGAAGTTTGATTTTTTCACAGCTCCAAGGGACAGTAGACATGAGTATTTCATATGAATTTCATTTCTTGATATCTCCACGCGTTCCTGAGAAAAAGGGTCTTGACAGACAGACAGACAGACGGACAACAAAGTGATCCTATAAGGGTTCCGTTTTTTCCTTTTGAGCTACGGAACCCTAAAAACTGAAGCTGCTAACATACCTTGGCAACTATGACAAATACCCGCTATGAGGCAATCTGTATGTCGTAATAGACTATTGATACACTATAATTAATAAACATTTTGATTCTTAATCGAAGATAGATATAGGATGTGTCTATCTATGTACCACATTATACACCTACCATCAGGCAGACTGAACGTTCGTTTGTTATCGTCACTTGTATCAAAAACACCGCTAGTAAACAGCCGTTAAACAGCAGAGCATCCACTGTTATTATATTTTTTAAAGGGTATAAAATTCAATACAAATACGAGTACAAGTATTGTAGCAATCTAAAGCAACCCCTTCTTAATGGTATCAATTGTATCTCTATCCTTAGTGGTATGTCTATCCTTGATAAGTCTGTACTTAGTGGTATCTATGTTTTAGTGCTATCTCTATCCTTGGTGGTATCTCTATTTTTAGTGGAATCTCTGTCCTCGGTGACATTTCTGTACTTATTTGTATCTCTGTTTTTAATTTTAGCTCTATTATTTGTGGTATCTCTGTCCTTAATAGTATCTCTGTCTTAAGTTGCATCATTTTGTTTAGTATTATCTCAGTCCTTAGTAGTATCTGTGTCATTAGTAGTATCTCTATACATAGTGGTAGCTCTAATATTTGTGGTATCTCTATCCCTAGTGGTATCTCTGTCCTTAGTGGTATTTCTTTCCTTAGTGATATCTCTGTCCCTATGAATGGCTGTTTTGGTGGTGAGTATGGGCAATTCTTGCAAGTAACGGTTGTAACCTGGCGTAGTTTTTGGAACGCCTATGTTCAGTAGATTAATTTATGAGGCTATTGATATGAAGTATGATGTAAATATTTATTGCCAGATAGTACAAATTTTTTCTCACTTTCGTGACTTCATCGTGAAATCATTTCTCTAAAAAAGGTTCTTTTATATCACTACGTGTTAAAAGGAAACACGTTACTAGTAAGAATATACCCACACATATCAATTACGAAACGAACAAAATAGAGTGACCCGTAAGACAAGCAGGAAGTCGATGGATACAGGTGGCATAGAATGATAACCAAAGTGATAACGATAGGACTGTTGTGTAATCGCAAATACTTAATTGGGCTTGAATATATTACATATGGAATAATTTGATGTTTGGTGCGTATTTATTTTTATTTTAGAACACAACACTGTACCTAACAGTCACACATCTAGACCCATGGCTGGGTTAATTTTATCCCGTTTAATTCGATAAACTCTCATTCCGACGAGCTATCTGAAATCGTAGTGACTATTCAAACAGTTAAGCTTAAAATTTGGCTAAAAGGATTGAAATAGATTATATAACCAACGTAAAATAAACTAACGGTAATGTACATAGAATTATAAATAACATAAATATAGCATTAAATAATATTTCTATGTTTTTTTTTTCAGAAAAACAACCAGGGTAGTTTAGCATTATCCTTCGAGAAGTAATATATTTTTTTAATATTTACTCAACTGCAACAAAGCATAAAATGAGAATAAATAGAGTGGTAAGATCAAGACCACACGTGCCTTACGACGCTTGGGCGGCGACGTTGCGTCTTTACATTTATACTCGTAAATTTTACAACATGTAACTAAAACCCTGTAGTACTCGTTAAGTGCTTTACCAGAATCGGTATTCAAGCGTATAGAAATAACTTTATTTCAGAAAACTCGACCATAAAAATTTAATTTAATTTAAATAAATTTTTATTTGAAAATGTATGGGTTTTATTGCCTTTCCATTGGCTGGAGAGTAAGAGTATACTCAATGACCCTGCTTTACCGTGCTCGTGTCTATTAGAGGTAATAAACAACAGTTTTCTTGCATGTTGTATATAAATCATTAACATGCCGCACGGTGCGTAGCAACGTCGCGCAGCGACAAAACGCACACACAACGGACAAGGGGACAAGAGAGACGAAGTGGGGTGGAAAGCGACTCCGATGCTGCAGCGCAATGGTTGTTGTGTGCGCAAATGTTTGTCAACAGAGTCTCGGCGTTGTTTTGTGTTTGTAAGTAGCGTTTGTAAGGCCGGTTATTTTTTATAGTAGAGTAGACTAACGAGCATGCGGCTCACCTGATGGAAAGTGTCGACTGCCACCCATGAACAACTGCGACATCAGGGCAATTGCAGGTGCGTTGCCGGCCTTTTAAAAAGGAGTAAGCTCGTGTCTTGAAGGTATGTGGTACTCAATGCGTCGAAATCATAGCGATGCGACAACGCAACTCGCCGGCAACGCACGTGTGACTTCACTCTAACTCTTATCTAATCATCGAACTTCGACAAATGTATCTCAATCGATTACTCATAATTGTGTGAGTAAAGTAGACTATGACATCATTATAAAATAAATATGGCTGACATGATCTGTCAAAAACTTGTGTGGTTGCATTATTGCATGATTCCGAATAATATATATAACTAGCACACACAATAATATTTTATTGCGGAACCTATTAATTTTATTTTGATGGGTCTATCGTACAATCCGTTCTTAGTGAGCGTCTATTTCAAGTCTATCGGGTGTATAGCTTTAGGGATCTCGTGATGAGTCAGTTAGTCACTGGTATTTCGCTTATATGTATATATATATATACGATCTATTTCATAAACAATACACATATAGTTCGATCATGATAGTTGCCGCAGTCGGGGAGTTTTTAAAAGATTACTTATTATTTATTATAACAATCGTAATGTTTTGTTATAAAAGCACTGAAAAAAATTTTTCTTTATATTATTAAGGTTTAATACTCATCTGTATAAAGGCAATGTCACTCTGAGCTCATCATTATCAACAAAGTCAACAAACGTCATAATACATCATTGGCGTACGCTTACCTACAAGTGTACAGCACGCGACGGTAGGTTATCTTAATGAAATTGTGGCGATAATATTAGCTATACTATGACTATACCCATACTTATCAACATTTGCCAGTACTCAGGTACTCAGTGACAAGGTGTGCGATGTCACGCGAACATCGGTGGAATAACTTTGGTGATCTTGTGGGTCCTCGACTATTTCTTGTATACGTCAGTGTCTTAAAATAGGTGCATTACTTTATGCGATTGTAGTGACTGTTTTTATTGGAATAGAAGTCAAAATGGGAGTTCCGATGGTGAAGAGCTGTTGTTACTGTGTCAGTTTGCACACTGGTACATTGGTTATTGCGTATTTGTACACAGTAAGTTTGAGTTTGATAACTGTTTGTTTATCTTCTGCTTTGTACGTTTGACGTCATCTGTACAATGTTTAGTTTTATGAATAGAAGAAAGATTTTCAGTTTTGTGACTTGGATATCCACTTGCACTAGTTATAAACAATATTTATTGACATGAAACTAGATATGAAAGTGAAGGTAAATATTTAGGAAATACAAAAAGATAATAGTATGCAAAACAGTAATACGCTACTATTCGGCACAGGAACTAGATAAACAGTTAATCACTACGTCGAAGTCCCTAAAAAAAATTTTACGATGTTCCCTCCCTGAAATCTAAAATAAGATAAAAGTACATGCAAAACGATCCGTAACAACCATAACATAGGTAACCCTCCTTCTGAGTCAGTCGGATAAAAACTCTTTTTATATATATATTTTTATTGAATAAAACTACTTTTACGGATTTTATCGCGTTTAATTAAGTTATTTTATATTCCCGACGTTTCGGTTGCTTTCCAGCAACCGTTCCCCGTGACCACGGTTGCTGGAAAGCAACCGAAACGTCGGGAATATAAAATAACTTAATTAAACGCGATAAAATCCGTAAAAGTAGTTTTATTCAATGTTTAGTGTTCGCGTAAATATAAGAAATTATTATATTTCTTTATATTATAAGCCAGTGCTTGACTACTATCGCATCTGATGGTAATTGGTGATGCAATATTTGCGAATAAAAATAAGAATATATAAGAACAGAAAAAAATAAGAAATCATAATGCAAAATCAAATTGTTGATTTTCGGGTGTTTATTTATTTATTTTATGCTAAGTGTTGATGAAGATGCGGTAAATTGCACTGTCTTAGCGTACCAAGAGCCTATAACTCACTCTTGCCTTGAAAACGCCAATATTATTTTCGGACGGGAAGACAGACGCCGGCAAATTATTCCACTCCTTTGACGAATCCCAGATCGGGCCAATAAAACAGTTTTTGGATTTTTGTCAAGAAATTCTCAGTAGATGCCTCTAGTCAGTAAGTTGGCGATGTCTTACCCCCGTGCCCCGGAAAGCACGTAAGACCGTTAGTCTTGCGCCTATACTCTCTACGGTCGTTTCGGATTTCAGTTCCATCGGACTATAAAAGTAAGGTATTAGAGAGAACAATTGTGCTTGCGCTCAGACTCATTCACTATACATTGTGTATCAATCTCCGAAGTAAAAATGTTACCTGTTTGATTCGTCAATTTAAAAATATCTCATGTTTCATGATAGCGCTCCTGTAGGTGTGTATAAATACGGTTATGTTTACAAGAGTTATCTCAAATGACGTCACGGCCTTGGCTTACTCTCGCTTAGTGTTTCCAGGCCTACAACAAATGAACCGGATTTCACACACTCGGATGTAAAATATCTCGCATAGAGTTGTGGCGGCACTGTCGTCGCGCCACAAGCGAAACACATCGAAGCCTACATCGCGCTAACAAAGTTCCGAAGTTAAAAGCAGTATATATAGAATAGCTCCAAACTACCACATGGAGCGTTTGCCGGTAACTTGATGTTGATGTATCCTACAGAGTTTTCATTTACTTATTTATTTGTTTATTTAATACCTTAAACCATGTGGCATTCTCAGCTAAGCAACAGGTGACAAAGCCTATTGTTGTCATGTGCGAAACATCGTACTTATATATAGTGTACACATTAAAAATACCTGGTATATGCATATAACTACATACTTGTACATAGGTATAGGTATATAGCCCTCATATATGTTGCCGTAGAAATACTTTAAAAGAGTGTTTATTTCAAAAATTCGACATCTCAGTTTAGTGAGATTTGTCGCTTTCTTTTACGTGTTCTGTCTCTTTTTACTTACCAGTTGAGCACGGGTTTTTCAGTTTGCTTTGCTCGCTTTTAAATTAAAATGTAAATGCATTGTCATCACAGACTACTAAGGTATGCCTCGTTTTCAGGGCTCCGGTTTTCTACACTCCCCGCAGCATACGAAACACAGCAGCATGAAGCTGCTAATTTACGATGGTATTTTGTGAGAGCGTTGTCCTTCCCCGGTCGAGCCGACCAATTCGTGCTACTACCATAATATAGCAGCAGAGTGGCTCTACCGCGTAAAAATGATCGCTAATCGCTATATATGATAAATGATGATGCATGAATTTTGTTACTTAGTTCTTGGTATTTCGTTGAATGGCCAGGAGCCCGGATGGGCCTGACTCAACCGTAAATAGCCAAATATATCCAGCTAAATTCAAACGTCTGCTAACCCTAATTCCGTTTATTTTGACGGCAATGATTTCACTGTTACCTTGACGCGATAACGGAGTTCTTTATATGAAATTATGAATACATTCTCGTCTTTTAATGTAGTACAGCATCGTAAATCGTAATCTATGTATGAAACTCAGAGCTTAAAAAAGTTCTTAAGAATTGAAGTGTCTAGTTTCAAGATTGAATCTCTGCTACTCTCCGCTGTTTTTCTATTAATGGCCTCCAGACCAAATTTCGCTCACAGCGGCTACTACACTAGCCATCTGAGCGACACAGGATTATAGTGCCCAAATGTATGCACAAGCACAGGTGCACTCTCTATTCTCTCACTCTCATAGTCCGATGGGACGGTAACCGACACGATCGGAAAGAGGTCAGACGCAGGACGTGGTTTCCGAGGCGCGAGGGTGAAACACCACCAACTTCCAGACTGAGGATTTCTTAATATAAAAACTAAATAACTGATTTTGGCCATACCCGGGATTCGAACCCGGGACCTCACGATCAACAATCGCGTTTAAGACTACTAGACGAAACAGGCAGTATTCGTATCGAACAGTAACGAGGTATTCTATTAAAGACAGTGTTGCCAGCAGCGAATTGTATTTATATTTTTATCTACCAAACCTCGCTAGACCTTAAAAATCCGGCACCAAATCATCATCATTACAACCTAAAAAGTCTACACAACATAGGCTACGCTAGACCGGCAGGTTGGTTCGCAGTTTTTTTTTATTTCTAAGTAGTTATTAAGAAAGCGCTGCTGCTCATAGTATGCGCTGGTTTGTTTCCGTTCATCACCAAATAAGATAACCAGTGATGGATTTGTAATAAGGTACAACTAAGCACTGACCAAGGGCATCACCGCAGCCAAGGCATCGGTTATTAAACTTCGAATAAAAATAATACGCTTTATTCTATAAATAATTTAAAATTTTGTACAACCGACTTCAATATATATTATTAAGGACAACTCAATAACAATTGGTCAGACCTTGATCAAATTTATGTGGGACCACATGAGAAGAACCAGCTTTCAAATAAAAAAGAATCATCGAAATCGGTTCACACACAAAAAAAACATGCAGTCGAATTGAGTACCTCCTCCTTTTTGAAGTCAATAGAAAATAGAAATGAATCTCTCGCTATCACAAATGAACTAAATGTATTTAGGTTTGCTTTATTGTGAAACATAATTGAAAAAAGAAAAATAATACCATCATTTTTTTAAAGATTTAGAGATCCGTGAATTTGTCTTTCATTTTGCACGTATTTTCATTTATAATTGATGAAATGATTTACTACGTGAAATCAATTTTGATAATATTATCAGGAATTTCGTTATTAAAAAGAGTCAAGGAAACAATATTTCAGCCACTAAAGTATACCTTAAAATTGTAACTAATTTACTTTAAATAAAAAGCCAATATAAAATGAAAAACTAGGGCAACATTCGCTATAAAACCCTGGGACACCAAAAAGTTAAATCCTTTTCTTTCTATTTTCTTAACTTGATTGATTTACATTGCATAAAGTAGAGTTCAAATACTAAATTCGACTTAGTATGGCTGTTTTATTTCAAATCCATAAGAAAGTCTTTGTGTCTTTATATCTTCTCTAATATATAAAATTCTCGTGTCGCGGTGTTTGTTACCAAACTCCTCCGAAACGGCTCAACCGATTTGTATAAAATTTTGTGTGCATATCAGGTAGGTCTGAGAATCGGCCAAGAACTATTTTTCAAACCCCTAAATGATAAGAGTGACCCACCTCTAAATATATTTTTTTATTTTATTGACAAATTTTTTATTTTTATTTTATTATGATTTAGTATTAAAAATACATAAAACTTCAAATTTTCACGATTTTAAAAACTAAAAGATATTTCCTAGAAATAATGTATATGGTAAAACAACGTTTGCCGGGTCAGCTAGTGATTCTATATTATATGCTTATATGGAGAACCTTGGAAGCTCATGTACATGCTTCATGCAAATTTCACAGTACGCAAGCAACCCGGGTTCGATCCCCGCCGGCACCAATGAAATACCTAATTGCAATTATAAGTGCTGATTTACCACGCGCTCAGCGGTAAAGAAAAACATCGTGAGGAAACCTGTATGTCTCTGAGAAATAAAAAAATATATTTCTAAGACGTGAAGTCCGCCAACAAACGCCGCGAGCACTTCCTTACGCTAAAACCTTCTCAGAAATGAGGAGGGGGCCTGTGCCCAGCATTGGGACCTATATAGGCTCTAGCTTTACTTTTTAGGGTTCCGTACCCACAGGGTGATCAACGGGACTCTATTACTAAGCCTCCGATGTCCGTCCGTTCGTCCGTATGTCTGTCTGTCAGCGGGCTGTATCTCATGATCCGTAATAGATAGACAGTTGAAATTTTCACAGAATTGTATTCAGAATGTATTTCTGTTGCCGCTATAACAATTAACAACGAATAATAAAAACAAATTAAAAATTAAAGGGAGCTCCCCTACTCGAAACTTGTTTACGATAGTACGAAACCCTCCATGCGTGAGTCCGACTCGCACTTGGCCGGCTTTTTTACTTTTATGCTTATATGGGCAATATCATATATAACAATACCTAAACATAAAAATGTCCTTAAATATATTGCAATATATTTAAGGACATTTTTATATGATACTTATGCTTGAATTGTAGATTGGCATTGCCCCATTTTTTAACGAAACAGCTAATGAGAGCTCGTACATATAAAATTTAAGCTGACAGTCCTTTCATTATAGGTTTTTTTTTCGCAATGTTTTTGATATCCAAATAAATTTAACATGTAGGTACACACACAGAGCTTGTGTTTTATCTGTGAATTAAAGGAACTTCTTTCCTCATCATCATCATCAATATAGCCTTTCACAAGTCCACTGCTGACAACGAATGCCACAACAAAGCACAGTCCTAAGCCACTTAAATCCATCGACTTTCTGCATCTCTTACCTGATCGTCTCAACCCAATCTAGTGAGGGGTAGCCTTACACCTTGCTTACCGGTACCATTCTTCACCATCGGTTGTTAGTTCGTCGAGCTATAAGACCCCATCTCAGCTTACTGATTCGTACTCCATATTTAAAGGGACCATTAGAAATATACTATCTAATTCTCTAATTGTTTTTGATCAAGGCGACATTTGTAACACAGTTGGTGATATGAAAGTAGATCTCGTAGAATCATTGCATCTGGTATAAGTTAGCGAGCTTCACTCGAAACCGAGGCACGCATGCACGCTCACACGCATGCATGCACGCACGCACGCATGCACGGTCACACGCATGCATGCACGCACGCACGCACGCACTTACACACATACTCACGCACACGCACACACATACACACACACACACACACACACACACACACACATGCGCACACACACACACACACACACACACACACAGACACACACACACGCACACACAATAACACGCGCGAGCGCGCATACGCACACACATGTGTACACGCACATGTACTCGCACACGTACACGCACTCGCATACGCGCACGCACATGTACTCACACACGTGCACGCCCACGTTCACACATACTCATACGAACACCAATACGCATACGCATACACAAACGCACACGCACACGGTGCGATATTTGTAAGTACTTGAAACTAACAAACATTTTTACGTGGTAGAGGTAAAGAGGTTTAAAAATTTTAAAGTCGGCTTTTGCTTTTCGTTAAAAATTTATTTCTAGTGAGCTTGTTGTACGGGCGAGATATTATTTTACTGAGCACTATTTTTTTAAATAAAGTGACATTACAACTCACTTGAATATACTTAAGGTTAGGAGGAACCACTTCCCAAATTCATTCGGACCTCCAATCTTCTAATATCAAAATCTCAACACTTCTCTTCTTCCATTTTCAGATGTGGGCACTCGTGGAACTGACAGCGTACTGTTTGCTGGTGACACTGGCACCGATGGGTCGCGGTGGTTCCATCTCTATGCACAAATACGTTTTGTATATCACAGCGGCAGTTGTCAGCGGCATTCACCTGCTGAGTTCCTTACTTCTCATTGTAGCTGCGTATAAAGTTAGTGGTAACATTAGTATGCTATTTTCTGGTGGTACTATTTTAGCTATGGAGTTTCTATGCGTGAGGTTTTTTTTAAAAACTGAAATGGCAAACGAATTTACAGTTCACTTGACGATAAGTGGCTTCTAAAGCCAAATTTCATATATAAAAGGCCACAGATGCATCGTCACCTATGAGGACTAAGATGGAATGCCTTACAGCCTGTAACTGGCTCCCTTTTAGACTTAAACTGGATCACAGCAGTGCAAGCGCTGCTATTTGGTAGCAGAAATAGGTAAGTGGGTACTGCCCAGACGGACTTTTAGGCAGAAAAGAAGTCCTGCCACCTGGAAATGCAACTCGTAATGAAGATCCACCCATAGATCCAGAGTTACCGACATAGAACAAACGTTCATTTGTTTTTTTTATAGAATATGGGTGACAAACGAGCACACAGTCCACCTGATGGTAAGTGGTTGCTGTGGCCCATAGACATCGACATCTATCTTCGTTTGCGAATTAAAATGCAAATGCGTTGTCAGCCAATATAGAATGCCTCTTTTACAGTAAAATAGGTCTCCGGTTCTCTACACTCATCATACGAAACACAACAGCATTAAGCTGCTGTTTTACGCTGGAGAGCGTGGTCCTTCCCTGTTCGAGCCGACCCATTCGTGTTACAACCACAATATAGCTGCAAAGTGGCTCTACCACGTAGAGTGCCATACCACACGAAACGATTTTACGCTGGTATTCTGTGAGAGTGTGGTCCTTCCCCCTTCCCCGGTCGAGCTGACCCATTCGTGCTACAACTATACTATTAATATAGCTGCAGCATGGCTCTACCACGTAAAAAACGATGGAGTGGCAATGGCCGGCCAAATAGTTCGAAGAATTTACAACCGATGAAGAAGGAAGGTTCTCGAATGGCAACCTCTTACCGGTAAGTGAAGTGTAATACGGCCCTTCACTAGGTGGATTCACGACCTGGTAGTTGATGGATGCAAGAAGTTGATGGATGCACGTGGGCCAGGAATATGGTTTTGGTGTTCCTTGGGGGACGGCCAATGTTCAGCAGTGGACTTGTGGAGGGCTATAGTGATGACAATGACGATGATGATGATGGTTCTATTTTATAGAAAGCGTCGCTTTCACACTAAGAATTTCTTCGGTATTATGGAGGCGTTTTACACATAGATAAATTGCACAGATACAAATATGTAAGGCATTTAAACCCGCGGCCCGCAACTCCTTTACCAAACGCTAAGCAACTATTTATTTATAGCATAGAGTAGTCAATTTTTTTGGTGGTAAGTGGATGCTGGCTATAGACATTTACATCTAGTTTCGATTAAGAATCAAAATGCAGATGCATTGCCTAAGATGGAATGCCTTCCAGGGAAGGAGGACTAAGATGAAATGCCTTGTTTCCAGAAAAAAGAGTCTCCGATCTCTACAATCACCATACGAAACACAGCAGCATTAAGATGCTATTTCACGCTGGTATTCTGTGGGAGTGTGGTCCTTCCCTGTTCGAGACGACTCATTCATGCTACAACCACAATATAGCTGCAGCGTGGCTCTACTACGTAGAGTGGCTCTACGAGGGTGATACTAAAAGCTCTTAGAAAAATTAAAAACGGAACAAACTATCAAGTTATTAGTTTTATTATATCTTTTCAAAATAGTGTGCATTTAAATCAATACATTGCTACATCCGATGGAACCACTGAGAAAAGCACTTTGCCCACTCGTCCTTAGGGGTCTCTTCGACGGAATTTTGAAACGTAGTCATTGTTTCCACGGCGTCCATAAAACGTTTTCCTCGAAGTTTTTCTTTTATTTTCGGAAATAAATAAAATCGCAAAGTGAGAAGTCGGGGCTATAGGGCGAGTGACCTAGTAATTCCTCGTCTGACGTCGCCAATTAGTAGACTGTTTGCTTGGCGGTGTGCGTCGAGGCGTTGTCGTGGTGAAGGAGGATCGTACTGCGAACTTTTTCCAAGATAAGTGGCGAACAATTGTTAGTGTACCACTCTGCAGTAACTGTTTTTCGATCCTCTAAAACAATTGTTGCGTAATGACCTATCCTTCAGAAAAACGGGGCCACCATCTTTTTTCTCACGATTCGACCTTTCTTCACTTTATTTGGCAACTCCTCAGAAGGAAACACCCAGACAGCAGACTGTCTCTTAGTTTCAGGATCATAACAATACGCCGCGCAACACCGATGTTATCTTCAGTCTATTAAAGTGGACACTTACTAAAAAAAATAATGTGCCAAAGAATTAAAGCTAAAGACGAGAGTTAAATAGGTATTATTTACAATTTATATTGAATAAACAAGTTTCTATTTCTATCTTTAATAGCTCAATAGTTACATGAATGGAAATAAAAGCAATAAGTACTCCTTTAGAATAACCCTTTAAAATTATTACAGAAACTGGCATCACTCACGCTGCCCTGGACGATCGTCACAGGCATATTGACTGCGATTATCTTCGTGATGAGCCTTACTGGCATCAGCCTTATCCTGCAAGACTACGGAGAGACGCTGGAGATGGAGGCAATTATCATTGTCGTTCATCTTACTAGGGCCTGTGAGTTCTTTTTATTTACATACTTACTTTGATGTTTACTGTCTTGTAAAAGCAGTTGCAGACAGTGCCGTCTTTACTTAAAGTACTAATAGGCCCGGGCCTAGGGCCCCTAGGGCATGTTGGGGGCCCCCCAATCGCAAAAAATCATTTACAATCACCTTTAGAAAGAACGTTGAATAACAAATCGTAAGCTTTAAAACCCCCATAATAGTAATAAAAATAAAGTAAAAAACAAATTAATTACGTTAATTATTTAATTTATAATATAATATAATATTTATTATGTAACATGGAAATGTAACATTACAATTTTTTTCTTGATTATTTGTGCGCGAAATCAGAAATTATATCTTCAAAACTTATATTATTTAAAATGTCCGATTCTATAAACATAATCGAAAGATAATTCAATTGAGGATTTAACATGGCATTTCGATGATCAAATTTTATAAACTTTAATGCTGAAAATGATCTCTCGCCGCTACAATTCGTGACCATCATGCTTGAAAAAATTCGTAAACTTATTTCTATATTAGGACAAGTAGATTTCAAACATTATTTTTTAATTTGGGTGTACAAATCTGAGAAACCTAACTGTATCTCTTTTCTAACTTCTAGCAAATAATATTTAAACTGAATACATTCAGAAATTAAGTTTTCTTCTGATAAATCCTTATCATATTTTTTTCCTAGTTTACTACAATTTTCCGTTATCGAATCTTCAGAGAGATTACGTAAGTGTGTAAAAAAACTAAAATCATTATTAAATATATTATAGACGGTTTTTCGTTGCTTAAGACTTGAAATAAAAGAGAGTCAATTATCGGATAAAATATCTCTATTCTCAAACTATCGCATGCATTGAACGTAGTATTATGACTAGATCCTTCATTTATCGTTAATTTGACACTTCTTGTTTTAGGGCGCTTGTCTTCATTGGGAATTTCATCAATGTTCGCAAATTTCTTTGCTTTACCCAAATATAAATCGAATTGATCTCTTAAAATGCTTAAATAGTGTACTAAAGAATCGAGTAAATCAACAACTATACCCAAATGAATTTTTTCAGTTTGTAAAGTTAAGTTGGTTGCGTGAATTTTTAATAAAATATCGTTCCAAACTACAATTAGAAATATAATACTAAATTTTTCAAGCTTTTTCTTAAGACTTAGTGCTTCGAGTTGCGTATCATTTTTTTGTGTTTTATCGGTCGATATATCGTCAAGAGTATCCAAAACTTCAGAACATACATGCTCTATGGGGTTTAAGTCAGGCGAGAGCGCTGGCCACCACATAGAATTGAATTCAACAAATTCAACGTTTCGAAGGTATTCAACAACTACGACCGCAGTATGGGGGCGTGCATCATCATGCATAAAAACAAATCTATCTCTTATAAAAGGGGATTTTCCTGTTTTGGGAATCATGAAAAGCATGCGCGATATTCGTATGAATGAAGTTATAAGGGGTAGAATCAAAAATGTTGTGCGACCGTCTTTAATATTTTATTATACAAAGGTTATATGATCTTTACCATGAAAGGTCATATAATCCTAGGGTCAAATTTAGGGAATATGTAAAAATAAAAAAATATTTAAAAGAGTGTGCTCCACAGCGAAGTCTTTGCAGTTGAGCAACAAAATTAAGACGGCTTCTAATAAAATTAAAGAAACTGGTAAGATTAACTCTAATTCAAACTACCAGTTAAGTTTTGACAACTAATTAACTGAATCAGGTCAGAACGTTGCAATGGTTTTTGAGAAATATTTTACTGATATTCCAATCTTAACCACTAAGTCACTGAACTCTTCTCCTGCCGTCGTTGAATCATTACTTACAGAAAATGTAAATGCGTGTACAAAGAATTTTACATTTCATAAAGTATCATCAAAAGATATTGTAAAATATTTTAAAAATACTCTTCATCTATCATGTAGGGAAGCCATGGAATGTAAATAGCAGTTTAATTTTATTTTGTTTAGTTAAAATGTATTTTTTTAGGCGTAGAAATCTCGAAATTTTCGGTATTTTGAGCAGCCTTGTAATAATTTATTTTACTAACCAGACTGCCTTACTCTCTCACTTCGGCCTCAGCCGCCGTCGTGTGTGATTACTATCGGTAGCGAAGCCTCCATAGAAGCCGAGAAGCCGTGATTGCCCTATCAAACTGCTCAATCAATAATATCAAATAATAAAATAACTCGTATCTGTTTCAAACTATTTCAAATTTCCCGCGCGCTCCTCTGTTCTACACAGTTCATCACCTCGTAGCCTTATTATGTAACTTCAACACTTGGTAGATTGTTTTCAATCCGAAAAACACTGATTCGTGTTCTCTCTGCCTTAAAGCGAACACGCAATGGACTATCAAAATTATGAAAGCAAGGCAATATGGATAGACCCCGGTCGCAGCAAAACTGCGCGATACTGCTGTCATAAAAAAGGAGTTGAGTTGAGCGATTAGTCGTCCTCTCGCACGCGTGGGCTTTTTACCGGGCTATCGAGAATACGATCGCTCCCTTTCTAACCTGTGGCAAAATGATCTAAAATGAAATATAACTACGATTGTTTATATAGCAATTAGTATGGAGCGATAAATTAGGCTTTCGGTGTGAACTTAGTCAAGCGCGGGGGCGCGCGGGATATAAATTTGCAAGTTCACTTCACATTTCAATGTTTTCAATTGTTGAAAGTTTATGCTTTTTTAAAGATTTTTAGTAAAAATGGAAGATAAAAGAGTTGCTTGTGATGAATTGAAGTGTGTTAAAGTGATAATCGGCAAGGAAAAGGTAAAATCTTTAAACTTTGTTGAGAAAAAACCGCTCATATCCACGCCGAAACCAACGCCTGATATGTAAATCTCTCAGACGAGTAAAACCCACAAACGGCATTTTAATAGATCTATTTACAAAACTCATTCCATTGTTGGTTGCTCACATACCAATAAGTTGTACTTTTGGTGCTGTATATTCTTTTCCAACGACAAAACAGCTCATACTTATTTGAGAAATACACAAGGTCAAGAGCGCCTTTCAGACTTATCAATTATCGCAATTGATAAACAGTTATTGGAACAATTAAAACGTTCAAACATTTTACGCGGACGTAATCAAATCTTTCCTGAAGAAAGAGAGACGATTCGATTTAGAATATAAATAATGTTTTTTTTTTTAATTTTGTACATTGTTTGTACTTTGGTCATGCTTCTCTTTTGTTCATATATTGTATTGTATGTAAATATCTTTTTCTATTGCTCAAGCAAACCCAAACGGCTTTTTTCAAAGCCACAAAAAGTGCAATTGCTGATATGTCATACAATCTATCTAGCAGTAATACGCCTTCTGTGTGCTTTGTTAAACACGTCCTCGACAGCATTGAATATGAAACTGAAGAGTGGAGACAGATTAAGATTGGTGTATTTTTATAAAACTACTAAAAACAACAAAACCATATCTTGGGCTGGCCCTAGTTTGGGCCCTAGCTTCGCCTTCTTTGTAGCGGCTCATAAAGATCGCTGTACAAATACAAAATATTCGAAAAATCTAATTTGATACATACTTCATTATTATAATAATCACTGAGTTTTATTACACTATTTTACAGAATAAATAATAGTACTAACAGTAAGTAGGATGTATATATTTAAATATATTTATATTTAAATACGTCTTGGACTTTATGGAGTAACCTGAATGATGATATGATGATCATATGAGTATTATAAGTCGTGTACCTACTTTTTCATTTTCTAAACTTTTTTTTAATTGAAGTTTGACATAAAATTATTGGAAAATTGGAAGTATAATAATAAGGTTATTAGTGAAAATTTCTGTGTATTTAAACTACTTTAAAGAAATTACGTATAATTATGTTATATGTCATTTTTTAATGGGCTTAGGGCATACACAATTGGATTTACTAATAGTTTTTTTGGCTGTTATAAAGAAGGCGCTTTTGCCAATTTTCTGCTTTATTACTCTCTGTGTTCTGTCTATTTTTCTTTATTGGTCTGAGACAGAGGGGTACCTAGTTCTCGCGCGTTTGATGGCTGTGCCGAGTTCATCCAGCATCGGCAATGACCGCCACAATCTATCTTTGGTAAGTTAACTCCAGATCAAAGGTGTATCAAAATTACCAATCGCCACATCACACTGTTACAAAAATATTTAGTGCATGACTACAGGTAAAATTAAATAAGATCTTAAGATTATGTTATGTACATTTGTCCTCCATAGTCTACCTATTTCAGGTATACAACGAACTAGCCTTCTCCACACCAGATTTGTATTTTGATGTAGGTGTAATTATTACACACATGAGTCGTTTTCACAAAGTTTTTTTTTATTATCGCTTTGTCTATACACAACGGTTTGGTACGGTATGTTATTTATACCTCCGTTAGACCGTACTGGTGTATAGTCTGAAAGAGTTTGCTCGGGGCGGACAAATACTATTTCTAGTGTCCTCAGAACAATAACTAAAACAAGTTATTATTCTAAGGTAGTGCCACAACACATTACATACATTGCGGCTTTCGATGTTTGACAAATGGCGGGAAAAATGTATGCGCATCAAGTTACTTAGTTTATATTATTTCTAAGTAATTTGTTTTAATGTTGTTATTTATTTATTTTGTTACAGGTGTATCAGTATACTGCATAGTTATCGTCCATAGTCGGCATAAACAAATAATGTATGAAGACGACGAAAGCAGATTTCAGCATTCAGGCCGGATCTATAAGGCAGTGAATACATCGGAGCCCAAAGTGTGAACGACTAGACGTTAGGATGACCATGCTGGGAATTAAAGAAAACTTACGAACAATCTTTTTGATTTCCTATAAGTGAAAACGTATAAGACAAAAAAGCACAAGAATTATAATATATAGGAATAGTGAAGGCTGTGAATTATTTGACTTATTGTAGATAGGTACATAGATAAAGGCTATGCGGATTCCGACTTAAGTGGGTTATTATTTCATGGTTATTATTATGTTAGTGATGTTATGTTATTAAAAAAATATAAAAAATACATATTGTGTTTATAAAATAAATTTATTAGCATGCATATTTCACGTCTACAATTTTTCTACGATTTTTTCTACGAGCCACGATTCAGCTATATCATGATAGTAGTACAAATGGGTCTGCTCGACCGGGGTAGGAACGCGCTCTCACAGAATACCAACGTAAAATAGCAGCTCAATGCTGCTGTGTTTCGTATGGTGAGTGTAGAGAATCGGGGACCCTTTTTACTGAAAACGAGGCATTCCATTTAGTTCTCAGGGGTGACTACGAATCTGGTACTCTGTGAGAGCGTAGTTCTACCCCGATTGAACTGACCCATTCGTGCTGCAACTATGTATAGCTAGCATAGCTAGAGCGTGGCTCAACCACTAAAATAAATTATAAAACGTAATTTGAACACAAATTATATGGTATATTATTATCTATACTAATAAATAAATAATAATCTATACAAATAAATAAAATTGAAGTGTATGTTTGTAGAGGAAGCCGGGGCTACATTGGGTCACACCAACATCTAATTTGACAATAAACCTATATAGCTATAAAGCTATGTTTATGAAAATAACAATAGTTTTTGTTTCATCCAAATTGGTGCAGAAATACGAAAGTTATAGTCCGGCCGCTGAGTTATTACCGATTTGACACATGACGAATTGACAATACTAGTGAAGTGACTGAACCAGTAACCCTAATATCATTTGGGAACAGTTTGTTTTTAAATATTCTAGTATAGTGTGTAATTAAATAAAATCAAAACAATAATAGTTAAAGACACAGGTTCTTTATTAGGTGGAGTATCCTTGATGGGCGTAGATAAATGGTCGAGGACATATCAAAATAAAACAAATTTGTAAACACTGTTACACATTTTAATGAATAGAGTAGGTACAAGATGTTTTAATAAATGACTACCTATCATTTATTAAAACAATTATTCAGACTCTGAACCAGATTCGCCAGAGCTGTCATCGCTATCAGTCACTTGTATGACAATTTCATTCTCTATAATGGTGTCCACTCTTATATCGCGTTCATAATCTTCTGTTATTAGTTTTCGAGTCTTTTCGACGACCTTGACCCAATCTTCTTTCGTTATTTTGCTGCAAGCATGTTTTAATAGACCCATCATTTTATTAGTACTGAATGGCGGAGTCGTATTATTACGAGCTGCGTAACCTGTAATGTAAACATTAAATAACGTTAATTTATTACATTAAATAAACGAAATGTTACACAATTACCTACATGTAAGGGACATGAGATATTTATTTCTTAGTTATGTATCTTTTTACTTATATGCTGAATATTGGATGTTATAATAGTACAAATTATTCATATTCATAACTTATGCGATAAAAAACAATACCTTTGATTTGTGCCCATATTAGCTCAATGGCATTGTACTGGCAGTGATAAGGCGGAATTCGAAGTACCCGATGTCCATGTGCTAGAGCTATCTCATCTACTTCATAACGGACTCTTGATGTTTTATTTTCGCGTACCAACTTTACTAAGTCAGACTTTAGCATTTCGGCAGTAGTTTCAATTCCATTTTGGTGTAGCCATGCTACGAGATCAGCTTTCTTGTCGGCCTGAGTAGGCGCTTTATTCACTTGTTTCGAGTGATATGAAGCGTTGTCCATTAATATGATAGAAGGCTCTGGCAGGCTGGGTAATAATTGATTTTCGAACCAATTCGTAAAAGTGTCTGTATCCATCTCCTCGTGGTAATCGGAAGTACTTTTTGACGCGAAAGCCAGCAGTCCATTTTCAAAGAAACCACTTCCAGCAGAACCGGCGTGACAAATTATCAGTCGCGATCCTTTTCCAATTGGAACCTTTGAGGTTGATGCTTTTGTTTCGTCAGTCCAAGAGCGTGACACAGTGTGGTTCGCATTTAACCATGTTTCGTCAACAAAAACGACGTTGTCCCAAGACTCGATTTTTCTGGGTTCTCTTAAAAACTCGCTCCTTTTAATTATTAAATCAAATCTTTCCATTAATATTTTCCTTTTATTCGTTTTTTTATATTCAAACCCAATTTCGTGCAATAGTTTTGACAACGCCGTTTTACCGCCTTTAAACAAGCCAGCTTCTTTTAAAGAGACCAAAAGCAAACGTCTAGTTGGAAACTCGTTCCTAGTATAATAACCATATATATGGTTTCTTATTGCATCTGCATCAAAAACATCAACACCTGTCACGGGCTTTTGTCTTCGTTTTTTCTTAGGAGTGCGTAAAACATTATCTTCACTTCCAGAAGCACCAAATTTTTCTTTATTTATATTATATAGTGTTTTTGCACCAATTCCAAGAGCTTGTGAAAACCGATCTTTCACTTGAGTGACAGGAATCAAAGGGCCGCCATTTTGTGACTCACGCTCAAAGTAATCCTGTAGCTTTAGTACAAGCTCACGACATTGACTATTCAATGTTTTTCCTCGTTTCGGCATTTTCAACAAAATTACCAAACACAAACAAAATTAGTCCAATAAAGCGCAACGATAAACAGGAGAAAGCCGAGTCAAAAAACAACGGTTACACAAGAGAACGTAGTCTGTGCGCACGAGAGTACGGAAGACGACTAAACAGATTAAAATAGCTGTGGTAAGGGTGTTGCCAGAATAGTATCGCCAATTACTTAAAAAAATACACCTATAACATTGCTTAATTGAGGGAGAAAATTATATTTATTAAATGTTGTTTTATATATTATGAATGTTAAAAATTATACATAATCATTTTAATTGTATTTATTTTTAAATCATAGAAAACAGTATTTCTGTCTTTGGATCACACATAAATCTTAAAAATCATAGAGATACTGGCAACACAGTGCAATTAGGAGACGCAAAAAAATGGTAGCATTATAGTCTAGTTGCTCGAAGGAATAAGTAAAATAAAAATATCCAAATAAAATAAATATCATATCTATTCCAATGAATTCGGACCGAATACTATCAAGCACATCACTATGAAAACTAGACGCACGATGTAACTTTGTACAAGCACGCCAAAGAACAAAAAATAAATGTTTTCATATTATTTACAAACTATTTTAAGTTTTGAAACAGAGTTTATTGGAAAATTACTTGATTCTGACATTTTGACATAAAGTTTTATATTAAAGAGGTATTCTAAATCATTCGGCAAATGTGTCGCTCGTGCAAGGTTATATCGATTAATTTAAGAATAATCTGTCAAATCGGTAATAACTCAGCGGCCGTACTATATAACGTTTTGTAGTTGCGCAATTTTTTAAAATTTTAACCCGCTCGTTCTCTGTGACGTGACGTCACAATCCGACAGAGCGAACGTGCAATAGGAACTTGCTAAGTTCAGTACTAACCGCGCGCTCGGAAGTATACGGTCGTTTACCTACATTATATAGAATGTCAGAGTTAATGTCAGAGTTAATGTCAGGTTGACTGTATTAGATGACATAATACTATAATAAACCCAACGACTATATAATTATTTTTAACTAATAATTTATGAATAATCTAATTTAATATGAATAATCTAATCCAATGTAATCAATATTATTTAAGATGAATAATTTCATCTAATAATCTAATCTATTATTATGAATAATGTAATCAATGAACTATTATATTATTAATATGTGACATTTGTATGCCCATGAGGCTGATCACATACTGAACTTTGTGTTTAAATAAGACCTTTTTGTTAACTGTGAATCACAAATAAACTATTTGATTTGATTTATAAACTAAAGTATTGAACATTTAGCGTTTAAAATGATTATATTTATATGTATAATCACAATGTGTAGTGCTGTAAAAAAAAGAAAATGGAAGCGGGCTTTGGAAAAAAGACAGTCAGATAATCTGCCAAAAGTGGATATTTTTATGGTTGCGGAGTATTTTTCAGAAAATTATGATTTTTATCATCAGAAATGCGTGAAATAAAGTTCTAAAGGTAAGTTACTAATAAAAGATTACGAAAAGTATACAGCTTTACCATTGATGAGTAATTAGGCAGTAATACATAGGTATAACTGACCGAACCACGAAGTTGCACATGATTTATAACGACATAAAATGAAAAGACTTACTTAAACTTACTAATACAGTGAGTATTAATCAACTCGTACTATTATTTAGTACCTAGTGACACGTGAAGAAATTTTTTTGGTTACGCAGTTCGTCAGTCCTAGCTTTCTGCCGACTTCCAAAAAGGAGACTGTACTCAATTCTACTGTATGTTTTTTTATGTGTGTTACCTTATAACTTTTTACTGGGTGAACCTATTTCGATGATTTTTTTTTTGTATGAAAACTGATACTTCTCGTTTGGTCCCATATAAATTTGATCAAGGTCAGACCAATAGTTTTTGAGTTATCCTTAATAACTTATATTGAAGTCGGCTGTACAAAATTTTTAATTTTAAATTATACTTTGACTTTTTTATCTATATGGCCCTTGGTATAGTGGTTACAATTATAGTGGTCACAATAATTCTGCCAATATCCGGTCTTTGGTCTGTCACACCTTGTCTTGAGGCTTTTCGGTGGGAAAGGAGTTAGCGGTTATTAGGTGAAAATGTGGATAAAAATAAAGCAACTAAATACATGAATTGTGGACCACACAATATAAAGCACACATCTAGTTATAGGAGGGGATTACTTTGACTTACTTTTGAATAATCTGATTGCGGTGTTACGTTGGTAGTTCGTACCTATTCTGTTTTGAAAATGCAATGGTCGCAAACATTCAAT